TACACTCTAGTAAATGCTGAGCAGAAAGACTGGCAAAGCATGTGGTTAAAATTTAATTTGAAATGAAATGGACCCAGTGACTTGGGAGAAAAGGAAGTATTTCTTCTTACACTTATACTCCATCTCCACTTTCCCCCCTCATATTACAATAACAATGAATGTTTATTTAAAAAATGTAGACAGACTAAAGTGAGAAAAGTGAATTTGTCAGTCATCTAACTAGAATGATAATGGTTAACATTTGGGACATACCTGTTCAGTCTTTTTTCTTCTGCATATATACTTATATAGTTATCCATAGATAGATAGTCATGCTTTTAAATTTCTGGGTTTTCTCTCTACTCACTACATTATATTTCCTAAAAGACACACTTCTATTATAAGCACGAAATTATACAGGGATAAACTGGCTTTGGAGACATACAGTTCCTTGTATCAGTTTGCATAGTGAGCTGCGCATACAAAGGAGCCAAGGTTATGGTGTGTTTTGATATTAATATACCAATTCTTTTGAATGCTGTATTGGAGTTCAATTTATGCATGGGCATGCTCTTCTTAAAATTAAAATTCTCTTAGCAGATATCCCGTGAGTATTTTACATAGCTGATATAAATGAGCTCGTGTTAGGGCAGAATCTCTGTATGCATTTATACGTCCATCTATTTAATTGAGGGAGTTCATGTTCTCTGTATATTTTGATAAAAAGACTATCTCATTTATCTAATGGTATGATATGGATGCATGGTATGATGAGGTGATTTATTTATTTAGAATGTAACAACAAGCATGTATTATGGAAAGAGAACCTTCCTCATTCCTGGGAAGTCAATTTGCTTCTGAGGGTCTGAGACTATTAAAGTGCAGAGACCCCACTGATGGTTAACAATAATATTCCCAATGATGGTTAACAAGAAGCAGCAAGGAGAAACCTTGCCTTGGATATTCAGTATATGCTGTTTTGGTTACCTATTGCGCTGAAGCAAGCCATCCCAAAACTTAGTAGCTGAGACAACTTCTTATAGTCTCTTGTGATTCCTTGAGCTGAATGGGCTCAGTCAAAGAGTCTTCTGCTAAACCTTTGTGGATTCTTATATGTGGTTGCTGTGAGACATCTGGTGGAGTTGGAGTCCTGTGGGGGCTTGGGTAAGTGCTCTAGAAGACTCTAGATGGTCTAAAATGAAAAGCTGTCAGAACTCTTTAATTCTTAGTGTGAGACCTGGCATAGTGTCATTACGTCCTGCTTCCTTCCATATTAAAACAAGTCACAGGGTCAACAATGATTCAATATGTATGTGTGTGAGGTTGGGGGGCGGGGGAGAGGGAAAGAGGGCCATCACAAGTACCTCAATATCAGGAAGGGTAGTTCATGGAGTACCGTCTCTGAAACTAGCTACCAAATATACTCCAACTATAGGGGAAATTAGAATTTCTTTCTTTCTTTTTTTTTTTTTCTGGGCTCTCCCTGGTGATGCAATGGGTTAAAGCACCACATTATGAAGCTCTCCGAAGCCACTGTAGTACAAGTTCGATCCCAGGCCAGGGAGCTGACCCACATGGCATGGCAGACCGCTCCTGACTCACCCTCAGCAGTGTACCTGGTTGCTCTGCCTGTTCTGCTCCCCACTCTGTCTTTGGTGAATGCTCTCACTCACCACACCTCTGGCCTGTACTCCAGTTCTGTAAGCATAAATAAATAAATCTTTTAAAAAAATAAAAATAAAAAATTATTTTTTTCTTACATCATCATAGTCCCCAGAGGTCTCCCACTATCCTATCACCAGTGAACGTTCATTATATTCCCTTGTGTTCTTCCCTTCCCTGCCCTGCCACCCCTCCCTCATCTCCCTTGTTGAATACCTCAGATATATGGTCAGTTTGCTAGTTTTGACTTTTTCTTGACTTTTTATTTGTTTTTTCCATATTCCCCGTATTAGTGGGACCATCTGATATTTATCTTTTTCCTTCTGACTTCTTGGAATGTGTCAGATTTGTAATACTTTGCTCTAGAGTTCTCATAAAGAAATAACATACTCAGTAAGCCTTCTAAGTTTACAAAGTTTGAATAATAGTTATGTAGTGACCCCTTCATTTCATCTTTTTCTCCATAATTTGCCAAGTTTAAAAGACACAGAAATACCTGTTTCAGGGTCTCCCTGGTTGTGCTAGGAGTTAAGTCTCAACACTGTGAAGCTATCCCCAGCCAGTCAAAGTAGAATTTCAACTTTAATTGTAAGAGTCTGAATATTTTTAGCTCAAACATGGAGTACCTTTAAGCGGAAGTGAAGAGGAAAGAAGCCTTAAGGTAACAAAGGATTTTGAAACAGATATATTTTTTAAAAGACTTATTTATTTATTTATATATATACGAGTTGGGGTGCAGGCCAGAGGTGTGGGAGGTGAGTGGAATCACCAGAGACAGAATGGGGAGCAGAACAGGCAGATCTACTGAAATACACTACTGAGGGGAGCAGCAGATGAGATAGAAGAGGTCTGCTGCGCCATACGGGCCTCCTCCCTGGCTGGGGATAGCTTCACAGTGTTGAGATTTAACTCCTAGCACAACCAGGGAGACCCTCAAACAGGTATTTCTGTGTCTTTTAAACTTGGCAAATTATGGAGAAAAAGATGAAATGAAGGGGTCACTACATAACTATTATTCAAACTTTGTAAACTTAGAAGGCTTACTGACTATGTTATTTCTTTATGAGAACTCTAGAGCAAAGTATTACAAATCTGACACATTCCAAGCATTAAAATGGTCTTTCAACATAGTGAAGAATTCAGGCCTGGGTAGAAATGTACTGGAGTAGTGGAATGTGAAACCAGTGGGGTAGAGGAATAAAATAGAAGCTAGGAGAGGCTGGGAGTACAAGACTCCCACGACACCATACAGGAGGAAAAATCAAGCATCTGCTTTCCTGCTCCCTTGGAGCTTCGAAGAATGTTCTATCTGTGCTCCCATAGCACAACAGGTAAGTTTACAGGGCAACAGTGAGGCCCCCGCTCTCACATGACAACAAGCTCATTTTATTGTCTGCAAAGACTAGGAACCCCCTTAACATGGGTTGTCTGAGACTGGGGTTTCTTTTCCTTGTGCTGAGCCACAGTTCAATGTCAGACAGCTTTTTCTTTCTGCGTGTTTATTTTTTTTTGTTAACATGTTCACACTCTTATCATATTGTTCCCCTCCCTTAGAAAATATGTACTCAGCAGGTGCCGAAATAATATACTCCCAGCAATTGCAATTTCGTAAAAGTAAAGGTTGTTTTGCTCATTCTAAACCTAGTGGAAATGTGTTGCTTAAACAAGAAAATAGCTTTTTTTTTTTTTTTTAAATGAAGTCCTAGGGAGCAGCAACCATGTCATGTTTGTCTTGGGTATGTCCTACCTCCTGTGTTCATTGTCTAACTTCTATGTAGTAGTTTTAACAGTAATTACAATTGCGAACAATATACTGTTGTGTTCTTCTTTGATGCAGTAATGTCATTTCATTATGTCTCTGCATGTTTACTGTCAGGTTCATTCTCCTAAAGTTGTTCTCAGATCATTTTGCAGGCTTTTCACATAACAGTCAAAAGGATTTAACTCAAGCTGAAGAAGCTTGCTTCGATTACAAGCAATTAATTTAGGCTTCACTTACCTGAAGGAATATTTGAACATATAAATTTACAGATAAATCCTGGGAGTGTCAAATTATGCAACCCAGAGAAAGTAAGTACTTTGCAGTTTTGGGGATGTGTATCTGCCATAGTGAGGGCTTTCTTGTTTGTTTTGTTTTGGTGTAAAGTTTTTGAATGAAAAAGTAAAACCACTGCAGGCATTGTCTTCATCTGGTTTTACATAATTTTGAGATGCCAGAAAATGAAAAACCAGGGTTGATGAGACTTAGAAAGATAGCAAGGCATGAGAGAATAAAACAAAACAAAACCATATATTCTCTTTTAAATCATGTAAGATTTCACAGCATTCCTTTTTCCAAGCCTTATGAAACAATTTTAAATAGTTTTTAATATAAAAGGTAATACATATTCACTGTAGATTTAAACCACCTTGTGGTAACAAAATGACAAACATTCACAATCCTTCAACTAGTGATATTAATGCATGGGTCAACAACCTTTTCTAAGTACGTGTTTTTACAAAATGGGTCCATACTAAGCAAACAATTTTAAAACTTAAAAAAATGTATATAGACTATGGAATGTTCTAGCATTTCACCGTGTAAAATCTGTGATGCGGTATGTGCGTTTCATGGGCAATACTGATCACTCACTCAGACCGTGACTTCTCGGCTTGCCCTAGGCGACCCGATCTAGCTAGGGTGCAAGCGCGTGGGAGTAAGTGGAGGGCGTTCAGGGTGACTGCGAGCACGAACGCCCCGGGCGGCCCACATCTCCCCCGGCCAAGTCCCACTGAACGCTACGCCCATTGGCCCCCGGGGCGGGCGAGATGGCAATTCGCCGAGCCCAACTGCCTTGTCCAAGCTTTACCACCCCCCCCACCCCCGCCCACTGGGCTGGCGCCACTCTCTGGCGGTGGGGTGAGATAAAACTGGGCAAGGTTCTGCAACTCCAAATCGGAGAGGCGCAGCTCTGATACCAGAGCTTTCCCCGGGTCTCCAGGAGTATTTGTTTCAACAGTTTAAACTGTTTCAAAGCACCAGAACCCGGGTAACCTTCGGCAAACAACTCAACCTCGCGGGCCGAGAGCGTTGGTTTTATTTGCTGGAAACAGCAAATCGAGCGCGGAGCTGGGGAGCTAATACAGGCCTCCTCCCAAAACCGGGTCCGCCAGCTGTCCCCACTGGGTCCCCCGCTGGCGGCCCCAGCCCGCCCCCCTACCGCGAGCTTCTTGCGTCAGCCGGCACGGGGGTGGGGGATTTTCGGAGGCTCTGCCCCCGCCTCCAGCCGGGGAAGGGAGGGCCCAGGGTATTGCCCCGCCCTCGGGGGGCGGGGGGCGGGAGGCGGAGCGGGGCAAGATCCCGGCCGGTGACCCGAGCCGGGTCGCGGAGAAACTAGTACCGGGAGCCCGGAGGAGTCACTGCCGCCCGTGCTGCCCTGTCCGCGCCGCACCTCGGCAGCCGGAACAGGGTCGCCGTCGGGGAGGCCGGGAGCACGAACTCTAGTTCAGCATGATGGACTTGGAGCTGCCGCCGCCTGGGCTGCCGTCCCAGCAGGTGCTGCCCTCGCCTTCGGGGCCCCGCGGTGGTGCCGGGACGGGGGCGCGAGGGAGCCAGAGTTCGGGAGAGACAGCCGCAGCCGGCTATTCCTCCGTCTGTGGCGGGAGCCAGGACTGCAGCGGCCGCGCACTGGAGCCGCTGCGCCTGCGCCGGGGCCAGGCTGGGGGTGGGGGGGGGGAGCCGGCACCCAAGGGGTCGGGAGGGCAGTGGGGGCGCGGCCGGTGGTCCTACCGACATCGCGTTCGCCACCCCCGGGAGCGACTGGAAACGGGTATGGGAGCTAAGCTCCCGCGCGGGACTAAAGAAACATCTCTCGCCTCGTCCCCGGCAACCAGAGCTGGGACGCGGGAGTCCCGGAGAGCTCCCCGACTTCCCACTGCCCCCAAAGCGGATGGACAGGAGGGGGCGGACGCTGGCGGTCTGAGCCGGCGCGGCCCGGCCCTTCCGGGGCTGTGCTGCTCCCCCGCCTCGGAGCCGGCAAAAATGTGCCTAGTCACGGGGCCGCTCTTGGGGGAGCTGAGGTCTCCTCGGGGCTGGGACCCGGAGCCCCTCCTACGCCTCCGCCCCCGGCCCCACGACTTCCGCGGACGCGGGTTGCGCCTGGGCCCGCTTTCGGGACTGGGCTATGTGAATGTGCGCCTTTGCAAAGTAATTAATATGTCCATCTATCCGTTCGCTCTAGAGGAGGAAGGCCACCCTCCCACCCCCTGGGTGGAGGGAAGGAGAAGGGCATGGAGTGTCCAGAGTTCTGTGATTGCCCGACGTGCGACTGCTGGCCGGGGCCTGCGCGCTCCCTCGTGCGGTGGAAAACGGTTGGGGCTTGGAGACCCGGGGCCGGCCCCCCACTGAGCCCCGGGAACGGGCGGGCGGGGCAGCTGACTGTAAGAGGCGACCGCGCCCCCAACTTCTCGTTCCAGGCGTGGTGCCTCTGTGCCTCCCAGTGGCGCATGCCGCGTGCGTGGTCTCGGCCTCTGTGACAGTGGCCGGTTGGCTGTCACGGCGGCCCTCGGTTGGCCCTTTTCTGCTTTATAGCGTGCAAACCTTCCCGTGTCGGGGCCAAGGGACAAGTTGGAGCTGTTGATCTGTTGCGCAATTGTTATTTTCCCCTGGGCGGCTTTGTCTTTGGATTTAGCGTTTCAGAATTGCAATTCCAAAATGTGTAAAGCAGGATATTCTGTTCTGTGCTGTCAAGGGTAAGAGTTGCGAGTGCAGATTAGAATTTCTATTGCTCTTTGGCTGTTTGTGAGTGCAGGTCAGAATTCCTGTTGCTATTAGGCTGTTATTAATTTTTTTTCTTGCTTTCATGTATTATTTCCCCCTTGGGTACTTTTCTTTTTGAGAATTTGTCTCCATTTCTTAGCGTATTGCTTCTTTTACGAAGACAGGCGGTGGGACACTTGTTTTTCTTGATGCTTTAATAACAAGTTCTGTAAATTGTTACAAAAGTGAAAGCAAGTTTCTATTCATATTTTGTAAGAACTTTTAAAGAAGTAGATATTTATATTTCCTTTCTCTGGGGTTACAAAATAAAAGGGGAAAGTGTATGATTCGAGAAAATAATGTGATTGAGTAGGTAGGGCAAGCGTGTTTATGCTCTTAATATTAGTATTAGACTAATCCTGAAGAGAAAAAGTAAGATTTTAAGTTGATGGTAATGTATTAGTTGTACTTTTTTTCCCTTTAGAGTTGTTTGACGTGAACTTTCCCCCAGTGATTAGGATTGAAATGGAGAAGTAAATTGTGCTTTCCGATTTAGTGCTATTTAAGAATAAGCTTTAAGGTCTTCTCCATAGTAATCTAGATGACCAAAGGATGTGTGATACTAATTGATTCCATTTTCTTAAATCCAGGAATTGTAACCCTCTATTTAATTTTTTTTTCTGTCTGTACTGTGTACAGACACTCCATATACAAAATTGCTTAAGATTCATGTTTTTTCTTTGAAGTGAGAAATTTTCAGTTATGTTTGACGAGTTAAGTACATTTGCACCTTTGTAATCAGACATGGGTTTGCATATTTGAAGACTATGGAAAAGAATTGAGTAAATTGTGGAATGAATTTCATGCCTCTGTATATGAAGGAATCAAAGGTGAATTCTGAACTTGCCAATCAAAGAGACTGCAGGTCTGAAGTGGTTCTGAGAAACAGTTCTTAGTACTCTAAGGAGAGACTTAGAGTCCCTATCTCTGCTAGGTGGAAGGAACCATTCATTACTTTTTTCAAGGGTGTCTTGGAGAGATAAAATACTTTTGTAGGTGAAGGATGAAGTTGATCTGGGACTAGACTGATAAAGATTATTTTTTTTTTTTTAAAGATTTATTTATTTGTACATACAGAACTGGGGTACAGGCCAGAGGCTCAGGGGCGGTGAGAGGCTTCACCAGAGACAGAATGGGGAGCAGAACAGGCAGATCATCAAAGTACACTGCTGAGGGGAGCAGCGGGCGGGTCAGGAGAGGTCTGCCACGCCATGTGGTCACCTCCGGGGCAGGCGGGAATCGAACTCATGCGAAAGTGGCTTCAGCTTCTCAGTGCAGTGCTTTAACCCGCTGCGCCACCAGGGAGGGCCTAAAGATTATTTTTTAAAAGGGGTTGGGGAGTGTAGGAAGGGTCTCTCTTCTAGGTAAATGTTAAACAAAGAACAACTTGACTTTTTAAATATGTGAAAAATCTCTTGAAAGATTGTGGAAGTACCAGGTAGGAAGATAAATACGTAGCTAATAGCAGTCCTTTTGTAAAATGACTAAGGACAGTTTGGAATCTTTCTTGTTAACTTGGGTTTTTAAACGGTGGGATTAAAAAAAAATACAACAACAAACATGTCTTTCTTTAGGAAGAGCTGAAAACCAAATACATTATTTTTTCTTAATACTCACTTTTATTCAGGATGAATTATACTTTACAGAGTGCATGAGAAAAGGAACCCTTTGTGGACTCCAAATACTGTGTTTTTGTTTTTGGTTTTTTTTTTCTGGGAATTTTCTCTGTACTGGCTGAACACATGTAAAAGGGAGTTTTCCATAAATAATATTTCCTCTTTAATTTTCCTTGATCTGGGGTTAACTTTTCTATGTAAACTAAGGTGCAGGAAGAATTTGCTGCTGAGATGATAATAGATGAATTGTGGGGCACTTCCCTGCATGCCAGGCAGTGCAATAATTGCTTCATGTGCATAATTTCACAGTAACCCCATGGGAAATACCATTCTCTCCAGTTTCCAGGTGACAAAACAGGCCATGAGAAGCCAGAGTCCTGCTTAAAGTGACCCAACTATTAAGTAGCAGAGGTGGGGTTCAGATGTACGCAATCTGACTCCAAGGACTCTTAATCATCATTTCCAACCTGGCCCAGGACTAGTTAAACTTTAAACAGGTGGAAAATTCACTTTAAAAAGCAGTTACGGGCCCTTACTGGTGGTGCAGCAGGTTAAAGCACAGCACTGAGAAGCTAAAGCCACTTCTGCGTGAGTTTGATTCCCATCTGCCCCTGAGGTGAGGTGACCCACATGGCGTGGCAGACCTCTCCTGACCCGCCCGCTGCTCCCCACTCTGTCTCTGGTGAATCCTCTCACTGCCCCTGCATCTCTGGCCTGTACCCCAGTTCTGTGTGCATAAATAAAAAAAATCTTAAAAAAAAAAAAAAAAGCAGTTACATTGAGAAAAACCAGAGGAAGTACGGGCAGAAATGAAAAAGGCTAAACTTTGTACCTTTTCCACTTATCAGAATTCAGTAATTGTATATGAGGGGGATGTGGACCATCTTAAATTCCAGGGAAAAGAAATGGAATTACTGCCTGGGGGCTTTTCAAGAAAGATGCAGGGATTTAGGGGGCTTTAGTATAGGGAAGCAGGACCTTTTCTTAATATAATAATGATTGTAAAAATTCCCTGTGTTTTCATCAGTGTCCAGGATGCTGCCTCATAGTTTTAGGGATTTTTTTCTTCTTTTTCTTAATTAAAAAGCTTAGTTACCAGATTCTGTTTGCTTTTTCAGTTGGTACATTTTCCTGTTCCATAGATTTTCTATTTTGAAGTAGTGATCAAAAGTAAGTTTGATAGTGAAAACATGTATTTTTCCATAAGCTCTATGGTGGTAAACTGGACACACAGGGTTAAGCTAGGTTGAAGGGAAAGTGGTAGGATTGGGGAAGTTTAGATTGAAATTCAAGTAGTGGAAATTTGCTAGTAAAAGCCCGTTAACTCATAACTCACTAATCTGTTTGGCCACTTCTGAAATGAAGCAGGCGGATGAGCCCAAGTCTGTCTAATTGAAGCTTGCTTGGGATTTTTGCCATAGTACATTTCAAAATTAAAGACTGTACGTCTTAGTCTTTATTGTTAAATTGTTTCCAGAACTGTTGTCTTATTTGTCTAAATTAAGGATGCTGCAGGATTTTTTGGATCCACTGGTAGATTTACCTAAAAATTGGTCTGAGTAAATCTGGTATTTAAATGCCTGGCCCAGCAAGTCTGTAAATTGGCTGAAGTCTGTTGCACACCAAGGTGCAGGAGAACAAGTGTGCTGAGTGCGGTAGTTTACCTGTTTCTCTTCACCTATGGCTGTATATTTAAGTTTGTTGCAAAATGGGAATAGTTTTATTTGGATAATGTGATCTAGAGGTTATTGAAATTTCATTGCTACTTGTTTTTAAATATACTCATTAAATATGAAAAATACTCTAAGGTATAAGTCAAGGCTTCTTTAATTGATATGTTATGTTTTCTGAAAATAAAGCAAAAACATTTAGTTCAAGTTTGTAGTTCAAATATATAATAGTTACAGTCTCAGATTAGAAAAATTCAAATGGTGTTCTTCCAAACCTCCCCACCCTGAAAAAGCAAGACCATATGTGGTCTGGTGTGACGGGCTTCTTTCATTTAACATGATGTTTACAAGGTTTGGCCATATCATAGCTTGTATCAGAATGGCATAGCTTATATTGCTGAATACTAATCTTTTGCAATATAAACATATATACCTTATCAACTCATCAGTC